CGGGAGCTTTTTGATGTTTTCAAAGCCTTAGGGTCATCTGTAAGTCCTGCAGTGCATGATGTTTCCAAAAAGCCTTCGGGAGCTTTTTGACGTTTTCAAAGCCTTAGGGTCATCTGTAAGCCCTTCAGTGCATGATGTTTTTAGGACCTCTGGAATGATGTTTTCAACATTTCAGTCTTACTCAAAAGAAGAAAAATGAAAAAATTATTATTTTTTTTCGTCTTTGCTCTATTCTTGTTAACACAAGAATAAGCAAAGAGGGGCAGCTGTAAACACTAATTTTTTTCATTTTTCATTATTATTATTATTATTATATATATTATATTATATTATATTATTATTAAATAATTATTACAAAGCCCAAAACGGCAACCCAAATACAAATCCCAGGCCCAACCAGAACCGGCCCAGACCCAAATGGAAACCCTGAACTGATTTGGGGTTTCAGCTAGGGTTTCTCAACCCTATCCCAGCCGCTGCTACTTCCAGAACATCCACGACGCCGCTCCAAGCTTCAGCCGCCCCACGCCTCCAGCTGCTTCCAGAAGCCCAAGCCAGATGTCTCGTCCAGCCGTTGCTGACGCTACAGTACTGCCACGACGCCAACAGAGGATTCCAGAAGACCAGCTGCCCCCCACACGTCGCGGCTATGGGGTGATTCACCACATAGCTCGGTGACTCACCGAACTTCCCCCTCTGGACCGGTCCGAGCATGGCTCCGTGGTGGCTATAAAAGCCACCGGATCTTGCAAAAAAAAAACGAGAGACCACGAGAGCAAGAACTACACCAACGATCCCAGACGACTACGTAAGAAGAAGAAGACGAGAAGACTTACCACCGAGGAAGCTATGCCGTCGTCAAAATCTCCACACACACCGCCAAAGAAACCGAAATACCGTGGGTATTTCTGTAGATCTAGGTAATTTTGGGACTGTTTAAGGGAAAAAGAGGTCGGATTCGGCCAGGGGAGGTTCAGAGCTTCATTTTGAGTATATTTTTAATTTTTCGACCACATGGGTGGTGGCCGGCGGTGGTGACCGACGCCAGAGCACGGCTGCCGGCCGGTGGTCTCCCTCTCTGTTTTAGAGAGAGGCCAGAGAGAACTCTGGTTCTCTCATTTGAGAGAGAGAAGAGAGAAAGAAGAAATAAGGATGCTGGCCCTTCGGGCTAGCCGTTTAGGGTATTTATACCCATTCCCAAACGACACTGTTTTGGGAGGGGTATATCTGTAATTTCGCACATGGCCAAACCATACGCGCAGTCATTCAAGTTTGTAATCTTTTCAATTTAGTCACTAGAATTGTTTTTCTGGATATTTTAATTTTGTCTTCCAATATTATTTCATTTTAATTTAGTCTTTATCAGCATATATATATATTTAGGGTAAATATCAAATTTAGTCCCTCATAGTTTAGTAATTATTATTTTAATCCCGTATTATGAATTATGGTTAAATTACACTTTTAATGCCCATCTTTTATATATTTCAAATTAGTACTCTAGTTTTATAATTTTACATTTTAATCATTAAAATTTCATTTTTGACTATGAGTTTTTAATATTTTACATTTTAATACTATATTTTTAATTCCTTTTATTTTAATCATTATTTGCAATATTATTTATTATTATTATTATTATTTCATTATTATTTTATTATTATATATATATATATATATATATATATATATATATATATAATAATATTTGTTTATTCGTTAAAATCCTATATTTCATAAATTACTTTTAATAATCATATTTTAATATATATTTATTTATTTTTCAATATTAAGAAAGGACAGTCTTAAAACAACTGGATGCCCATTTTCTGATATTTTTAAATAAATAAATATCCTATTTTATAAATTATCTATTATTTGTTTTAATTATTTGTTTATTTTTTAATATCGAAGAAAAGAGCTGTCTTAAGGCACCTAGAAGTCCTTTTATGATATTTCTAAATAAATAAATATTTTATTTATAAATATATATAAATTAATATATTTTTTTTCATAATTATAATTTTGAAACAACATAATTATAAATTAAATATATTTGAATTCATAAAATTCTATTATTAGAGACAATGTATAATTAAAAAGTACCAATTTTGGGCGTTGTAGGGGTGCTAATCCTTCCCTAAACGTAACCGACCACGAATCCCTTTTTATTATTAAAAAGAACGAATTTTTGGTTATAAACGCAGATCAGTTCATCTTTTAATTGATGTTTTCTTAAAAACTCTTTTAAAAGATAATTTTTAGGTATTCGACCTACCTGAACCAAAAGGCCGATGGCGACTCCAAATTATTTTAAACCATTTATTCACATTATTTTCCCGCCAAGTAAAAAATTCATGCCCGGACGAAAATCGGTTACGACAGACATCAACATGGCCTTTGATGCAATACTCTTTAATCGCCAGCGTAGCTTCATCTTTTTCTCTAAATTGCATCCCAATCGAAAATTCACCAGAATTTTCGAATGATTCATTCATATGGTACGGAGGTATATGTGGCATGTGGGAATTCTGGTGCCCTCATCGCATCATAATCAATCTCGTACATGTGAGGAGTTGGTTGATACGATGTCGAAACTTCATCAGTTGGTCCTGAGTTAGGTGCACCACCACAGCCAAAATTATCATCGTCCTGTAAAATGGGTTCCTCAGTTTCTTCATCCTCGCTGGAACCATCATGGATTTCTCCCCATCTATTTTCAACATCAACAGTCAATTCCGAGTTATATATGTTTCTCTCCTCGTACTCTGCTACTGCGGATGTTCCACCGACTTCATTTCCACTTTACAATAACGCCATAAAATTGTTTATCGATCTATATGTCGGGTCCTCAAACTCACCTCTGAAAACCATTTGAGATGAATTTTCAATCACATTTCTTGATGACCCAGGAATATCATATATGTTACGCACATCAACAAATAACTCAATAACTGAAATATTTGTTGACTCGTATAATCCAATCATGGTTCCAATATCATCATCTTCTTCAACTGGTACTACAGCATATCTAACTGGATTGGGACATACCCTAAACCTGTACTTCAAACCATCAACTGTAGCTCGGATTTTCCTTTCTATCATCTGCTTTATTTCTACAAATGTGATGTCCCTTTTGAATATCATATTTATAGGTCTTTCAGAATGGAAAACAACTCCGACCTCATTTTGCATAATATGTCCATTATAGTGGACAATCGTGAAAAAATTGTTGCTCATTTTCTCTACAATATCAAAATTTGTATTTAAAATAGAATAGAATATAATATATATAACACCAATATAAAAATAAATATAACAACAATCATAACGTTAACAAATATTTATAAAAATAATTATAAAATAACTCAAATAAAATTTCTTCAAACTTAGTTCACCTTCGTTCTTCCAAAAAAATTAACAAACTATTAGACTAATTTCATACAAAATAATAGAAATTTAAACCAATTTACCATATAAAACATACTCAAATTAGAATAACGAAAGAAAAATCACACCAAAATTTCTAAAATACTCCCTATGTTAATCTTTTTTGCAATTGCTTATGCTTTTGCTTCCCGTATCAATTTTCTAAATTGCAATTGCTTCTGCTCTCTGTATCAATTTTTTGAATTGCAATTGCCCCGGTTTCATTCTTACATATATATATAGTAGAAATAAATTTTTTTAATGTTCAACTTGTTTTTATAGGGTATAGGTTAGGATTGGATAGGAGGGCATGAGTACGAGTTACACTTTTATCATTTCAATGTCATGCGACTTTGTTGGCCATGCCAGAGACCCACGAGACGTATGCTAGTGATGCACCTACATAAGAATCGACCCCTCTCCCCCTACTCTCTCCCCTCTGCATGAGAGGGCCATGTACGTGAGGGAAATAAAGGGGTGGAAGACGCATAGATTGTCATGCGTCTTCATGGGGCTTGACTGCACAGGCGACCTGGCTGGTCAGGAATGTAAGACGCTTGGAATCCAATGCGTCTTCAAAGGGTTTGGGTGCGTCTTCGGGGTCTACTGCATTATTCGAACAAATAATTTTTTCCATTGCATTATTTGAGAAATTCTGCCTATATAAAATATATCAACTTAAACTATAATAAAAATATAAAAGAATATTTTAAGATAACTCATTAATAATATTTTTATATAAGAAAAAATTTATTATCAACACTTTTTAATATGTGGACATAAAATTATTATAAAATGATAATTTAAATACTTGTTTTGACAAAAATAATATTACAAAAAAAAATAGTAACTAAAATAAATTATTAAATAATAAAGTTTTTAAGGATGTTAGTATTAAATTATTAAAATAAAATGTAAATATAATTGAGTAGAACATATACATTATTAAGGGTAAAATTATAATATACTTCCAAACTCAAAGTTAAAACTGAAAAAAGCTAAAAAAACCTAACTTTTACGGTTAATTTGAAACTACTATTTTCATCTTTTTTTTCCTTTTTCGTTTTTTTCATTAATTTTACAAGGATGATCAAGTTCTTCCTTTTCTTGGAGGGGGGTAAAATTCATGCCGCCAAAGCAAAAGGAAAGAAGATAATTTTAGAGAACCAAACAAGATTATAAACAACCCTAAATCTTTTAATTGTGCTAACAAGGAAGATGGAAAGAATTGTAATCATCTTCAAATAAAACCCAAAGATAGAGTTGGAAAAAGTTTGCTAGATCAAAGACTAAATCATTCTTTTAACCCCCAAACAAAACCTTCTAATCTAAATCACTTGGCAATGAAGGGGGAAAACACAAACTGCATATAAAATCACATCAAAAATTTATCAAATCTGAAACATAATCTCTTATGGGTAAATGCAAATTTCAGACTAGTCAAAGATCATATACATGTAGCAGAAGAGCACAGGGGAAGGACCATGACAGAGGATATGAATTTAGCTCAAAATCATGTAATTTTCTGTCTTTCAATCTAAATTTATGCGGCATAATATAAACATAGGATCTATGCTCATTTTTATGACCAATTTGAATGTTAGAAACTATTTCAACTAAGAACTCAAATTGCATATCAAATCTACAAATTCTTGGAAGCTAGAAACTACCATTACTGAGAATTGGTATTTAAAACCCTGCTGATTCCCCTTCTACCACGTCCGCACAAAGGTCCTTTCTTCTGCATAAATCACGAGCGGTATTAGAGGCGTCGTACAAGAGGATACAATAACAAACAGAGAACGTTTTCTTTTACGGTCTACCATGAATGCAGGTTTTGGCTTTGATTGCCTTCTCATAAAAGCTCTTTGAAACTCTTTCTTTTTCTATTCAGCCTTCATTTTGGTGAGACTACGCCTGTATATGATCACAGTCCGACCAATTCGACCGACGACGACTGAACCGGTTGCTTGCTCCAGTTGGACCACAACCTGTAGCTCTCCGGAACAAATCCGGTGAATTTTGATCTGTTAATGAAATTAAAACAAAGATATACCAAATATTTATCAACTCAAAACATGAAACAAGAAAGAAATCACAGTACATCTTCACCAACAGCAGCCTTGGAGATCCATATAAACTTTAATTCCCAATAAACATAAAATCAAGCAGCTGTAACTTCTATGCAAATGGAGATGCAATGGTGACAAGCAGTTCTAACTTCTAAGCTGATAATTTTGAATCAACTTGAATATAATAGGAAAAATAACTACACTGTAATATACTACCCATAGCTTAGAATGCATCAAATGACATAAATGGATAACTTCAAAGCAAATACAACCACAAATTAAGATGGACATCAAAATAAAAAGAGAATTAGGTAATTTATCATGACAATTCAAAGAATATCCAGTGACAAAAACTAAAGGCCTTAAACCCTAAACAGCATAATTAAAAAAGAATGAAAGATGATACCTTTAGAAGTTCATTGGCTTCAAGGGTCTCAAGAAAAGAGGAGATGACATTATCAGTAACACCAGATTTCCCCACCAGTTGGCACTTCAATGTGCATAAGAAGCCAGCTCTTTCTTTTCCTTAATCGTCAGATTCGGCAGTTTCACATTCTTAGCCTGGGTATTTCCCCCGACCACCTCCAAACCCAAATTTACAGGGCTACCCTCTTCACCATCTTCAATCCTAACCAGGGGCGGATGCATTAAGTCCATAGGGACCAAGTGAATCGCATTATATAGAAAAAAAAGTGAAATTTAATATAAAATATTAAATAAAAATAAAAATAAAAATTTTTGCACCCACTATTTTTTAAGGAAAAAAAATTAAAATTTTATACTCATTTATAAATTTTGGACCCGCCACTGATCCCAACGTCACCTTCCTCATCATTGCAATCATGCCTTCAACTTCATATTCAAAGTCTTCTTCTTTCTCTTCTAATTTGTCTATAAAGGATAATGGGTAGGTCTCGTTTTGGTATGAATTCGAGGAATAGTTGATGGAAGAAGAAGAAGTAGACGGGCGGATTTGAGGGGAAGTGAGGGATGATAAAGAAGAAGAGGGAATGGGCTTTTGAAGAACAGAGATTTTATTGTGGATTCTTGAGATTGAGATGCAAAGGGGGGTTGGAGATGAAACCGAGTGTTGCCGCCATACTGTCACTGCAATGGGTCTTTTCGACACAGGATATTTTTGAATGATCAATCCAAAAAATGGTAAACAAGCTCAATTTGAAGTGGAAGGATAAGCCTGCCTAAATGTTTGGTTTAATGGTATGATTCTCAATTAAGATTTACAAGCTCGTCCCGTGTTTGATTCTTTGTGACCATAATAGAGGGGAAGTTTTATGGCTAAAATATTACTACGACAAATTATTATTATTTCTTTTTTATTTTAATTACTAATTTTGAAATATTGTTCATTAAATTATTTAATTATTTACGTATTAATCAATTGATATGTTATTTAATATTTAATATAATTATTGATGTGATAGTTAATAAAATATATAATTATATATTAAATCACCATACTTATATATTTTATCAAGTTGATCTTAATTTTAATTCAATTTAAAAAAAATTAATTTCTAATTAGATGATTACATATTTTACGGTTTGACTGAGAGCAAATTACAAAAGAAGGGCGCTGGGACTTGAGGAAGAAACCTGATTCTAATTACTAAGCCAACTTTAACATTTGTGATACGTTTGACACAAAGATATATATTTTAGGGTAACTATGATTTTAGTATTTAAATAATTAATTTTGGTCTATTTTATTACATAAATTTTTATTTTTTTAAAAATCATTCTTAACATTTAATTTTTGTTTTATTTTAACACCTTATCGAAAACTTAACAGATAGATTGATGTGGCATAGCTCAGGTAATGGATGACCAATTCGAATGGTAGTGTAACATCCCAATTATCGGGTAAGTGACTAAATTGTAAGAATTCATAAATTTAGTTGGTGAATTAGAATAAAGTGATAAGTCTAGTGATTTATGGATGAATTTTGTGTGTTGGGTATGATAGTAAATATGGAATTATAATAAGGGTAAAAGAGTCATTGAGCAAATAAAAAAAATAATAATTGTGGGTATTATAATACCTATGTGAACGAATTGAGGAGATAAGTTTTCAAAGACTTATCTTCTTCATCTTCTTCTCTCAACGTGAGGCACCCAAGCTCAAGGTAAGAATTTGAACCTTGGTCGTGTCTTTGATTTTTAGTTTGGAAATGGAAGTTTGGATGTTATATAAGCTAAAGGAAGGCTTATATGACATTAAAACAACAAGATAAATGTTTTAGAGATAGATTTGAGAAATGGGTTTTTAGATGAAATTTCGAAATGGATGAGTTTTTGAAGTTTGAATAAGATTTTTTGACATGTCAAGAGGTTAATTAAGGAATATGGAGTGTTAGAATTGATTAATAACATGTTTGAAATTTGGGTATGATTCTTAGTTTTAAGAATTTGAATGAAGTATGAGAGATTTTAAAGTGTTGAAATGATAGAAGTTAGTTAAAACGGTTGTAGTTAAGTTTGGTGGTATGAAAGGAACTTTGTATGAGAAAATTTAGTGAAGAGTTACCAGTAAAATTTACAGATTATGCAGAGGGAACCGATACCTCCTGGGGGGAATCGATTCCCCCTAAAGGAAAAGTTGAAGTTTGGTTCATTAAATTTGTTTAAGCTATTAGACGTTAATGATAAGGTTTAGGCTTTTGATAATTGTCTCAGAAATTATGTTTATGTAGATATCGAGCCTAAACGAGTTCTGGAACAAGTGACAAGTAAGAACAATCGAAGGATTAGAATCGAGTCAAATTAAGCAAGGCTAAGGTGAGTGCATATGCATAACATGATTATAGAAATACATTCAGTTCTAGACTTGTGATAAGTCTAGATTTTATATCTTGACACATGAATAATAATATGTGACTAATATGACTTCTATATGTACATTACTATGACCATATGTTATGTGTGCTATATGCATTAATTTACCTGATTTATGTATTACATGAAAATGTGAGACCAGTTATGCAGCATGGAGTTATATGATTACATAAAAAGATGATATGAGCTATGTGATAAAGGTAAGAAGTTATATGTCTATGCGTTATAAACTACGTGAAATGTAAAAGCCCATGTTATGTAGATGAGAACTATAGGTATAGTTGGCATGCCAAGAGTAGAGGGTCTACGTGGTCCTTCGGGACAAAATTCTACTTGGTCCTTAGAGACATATATATATTCTTTGGAACAAGTATGCAGTCTTTTGAGACACCTACTTGATCCTTGGTATATGTATATGATTCTTAAGGAATTTCTATGTGGTCCTTAGGGACATATTATGTGGCACTTCGGTGCATTTTTACGCGATCCTTCGGGACAAATTCTACGTGGCACTTCAGTGCAAATTTATATGAGCTGTGGTGACAACATAGTTCACAACCTCACAGTACTCATATACCCTTGGGTTCTCAGTATTGTATCATGGGCTATTGAATATATTGAACTTATTATATGAATTCATGATGGTTAAATTGTGGAGATTATTGGTAAGGTACATTGTTATTCAGCTTACATGGATTGCATAGATGTTTTCATTACATTTCATTTTATTATGACATCATTATTATATTCCATTGTTATTACTATTATGCCTCACTAAGTCTATGACTTAGCGTGTAAGTGATTTACACGTAGGTACCAAGAATCAAGAATAGCTGAATAGGAGTGACAAGAACAACAACACTGCTAGAAGATCATATAAGAAGTAATTGATAAAATATGTATTTTGATTGTGTATAATATGTTGGCAAGTAAGAAATGTAATAAGTTGTTAGTACGAACTCTCTGATCAACTTTTCTAATATTTTGAACGTATTTATGTAAATGTAAATGTATAGTAATGAACGGTTAAATTTTTACGGGTTTTATGTACGTTTTACGGAAGTACTGTATCAAGGGAATCGGTTCCCTGTAGCAGGGGAATCGGTTCCCTATTTGTAATCTGGAAAAATTTGTGTAATCGGTGCTGTAGCAGGGTAATGTAGCACGTTACTGTTCACGGTAATGTAGAAGGTTATTGTTCATTACTGTTCATACGTATTTTACTGTTCACAAATACATTTTTGCCTCAAAATTTTATAACAAACATAATTCAATAGTTTATTATCGTATTTTCTTAAAATAAGTTCAAATGTTTTGTTATTTTTGTAAGGAAAAGTGTTTTAAAAGGTCAATGTGACATCTCGGACTTGTATTCGGGTCGGGTATGGGTTGAGGTGTTACATTTAATGGTATCAAAGCTAAGGTTTAGTTGATTCTCGGCATAAACTGGAGTCTAGAGTGTTTTATAATGTATACATGCCAACAAAATAGTAAAAACTTCTGATCTGATAAAATAATAAGTATGTTGTGTTGCTAATAGAATGATATGATTGTATTTTATTAGATGTCCGGATATGAAAGCTTCCAAAGTGAAGCGAGAGGTGATAAACCTGAAGGTGATAGCAAATCACTTGCCCTGACCAGGCAGGTTGAGGGGCGGAAACCTCAAGAAATGCCTCATAAAATCAAAGGTTGATTTCAAAAAAAGTTGAAATTATATTAAAATAGTGATAGGAAATTTCATAGTTTAGAATCAGAAAAGTAATATAGAGAAGTTTTGTTATTATGTGAATAAGATAGAATATGGTGAACGTTAAGAGATCAAATGATGCAGTGAGAATTTGTAGAAGATCTCAAGAATAGTGCATCAGTAACAAGCGTATAAGGTATATGAAGCTAGAACTTATGAGTTTGAAACAAAGGGATAATATTGTGTATAGGAAAGATTGTGGATGTGATAAAGGTCTTCATTTTAGATAGAAAGAGTTAGCGTTGGCTAACAAGATTATTTGAGGAAAAATGTAGTGGAATTATAGGATTTTAAGATATTGTTAGGTTATGATAACCAAATATAAAGTGGATCTGGATACAGTTGCGTATTTTGATCATAGTAATGTGATATAGTGAAGGAAGTGAGGATTCGTATGTTTGAGTAAAGCTAAGAATTGATAAGAAGAGTTCAAGAATGAGAACATCAGTAATGGGTTTATAAGACAAAGGAAGATATAATGTTGAGTTGGAACAACATAAATTACTTGATGTATGAGAATGAATGTGGATTTGATAAGTTAAATGAATTATTGATAAGTTCATTCTGATTGAAAAGAAGGTATATGAATGATTCGATGAAGGTTTATGCTTTAGATTGAAAGAACTGGTGTTGACTAACAGAATTATATGATAGTAAGTGTATTGAAGTTAAAGAATTAGAAGATGATACCAAGGTATACTAATTAAGCATGAAGTGGATTGAGATAAGATTATGTATTTTGATCTTGGAAATGGAAGGTAGTAAAAGTGACAATGGAATAATACTGTATATGAATAAGAGTGTGGGGTTTGGTTTGATTTTAATTGAAAGGATGTATATGATTAGTTTGATTAAGGCTTATGCCCTAGGCTGAAAAAGTTGTTGCTGATTGGATAATATATTTATAAGATTTGAAGGAAAGATAGAGTTTAGTTAATCAAGTAGGATATGGATATGAATATGGTTGTATACTTTAACTTTATGAAGGTGATATGATAAAGGAAGTTAAGGATTGATAGAAAGTT